ACACAACTTGAAGTAGGAAATGGAGTGTGTGAAAAAATTCAAACCAAGTACAGAAGAAGCATTTAAAATTTGCTTTTTACCATTTTGTTTTTGTATATTTAAGATTGACGAGGACAAATACAACTTAACACAAACCTGTCCAGGGATTTTAAAGCAAACGTGCGATGATATTCAAGCAACTCTAAATATTGACTGGACGGAAACAACTTGGTTAGATTTACGGAAACCTCTATTTTCGGGATTAGCTGCTTCATTGTACATCATGTTTAAGGAAAATATAACATCTGGCTATACCGAAAATTTGCCCGGTGATAGACAAAGCCAGTCGAGGATTTGGCAGAAGTTATTTGCTCCAGCCAGAGACACTTCAGATTTTGTTAATATCCTAAGTTCATCGAATAAAGGTATGTTATTTTAACACTTTAAGAAGTATGTAGTACCATTGGCCTTCTGTCAGACGTGGAGTGCGGGGGATACAAATCCGGTCGCCACATCCTAAGTACGACCCATGCATCTTTTCTTACTACATTTCTTAGTAGCCTTGTGATCGTCTAGTATTTTCACTTGTTGTCTTTGCTTTCCCTTCACGTTGTGTATTTACTTCTTCTTATCTATCTTAGTTAGTTAAGACGTTTGTCTTACCAGGAATAACAATGCAACAGTTCATTTTTACATTTTATATATAATATAGCTGCTTACATATGGTACAATGCATAATAGAATAAATCATTATCTCAACCCTCATTCAGCCAGACTGCTGATAGAACCTGCTACATATTTTCTCTTCCAGAATCCGTCTGCTGTCTCACGAATTCTCACAAGTATGATAGTTTTGTAGCTGTGGGTTTTGGACCGTCAATTATCTAATTGGTCAAATATGATGTAAATAAGTATAGAGATTGGTTAAACAAGCCAAATGGTGCAATCGTAATTTTCCTATCACATGTAATACATGATATTCGTATTCCCACAGAACCAGCTAATGCTTACCAAATTATAACTCTTTATTTATGTAACAATATGCTACTCATTTTGTAACTTGATTTAAGTACATATATCTGAATCTAATAATTTGCCAAAGATATTAATTAATGCAATATAATGACATCATTTTTCTCTATTCCTTGTCAATAAATTTGAAAACAATGTAACAACGACAATATTTCTACAAGTATGATCCATCCGAATTGTTGATCAATAACAAAATTCTATCGATATAAGACAAAACTAACTGCCCTTACATTGTGTACAACACATGGCATTAAAATTAACTGCCCCATCATTGTGTACAACACATGGCATTAAAATTAATATTACAATTTAATTATACCACATGCACCTGAACGCACCAGAAATACGGAACAGATCAGTGATGTCATACCGTGAAATAATATCGAGAATATCATGCTGGCGATTGAGGAATAAAACGAAAGTTTTATTAATATCCACAGATTCGCATTTACATGATTTTAACATTCATACCACCCACTTTACATCCAACCCCTATAGTGTGGTACAACATGTCATTCCGTAGGATTTGTATGCTCAAATTGATAATTTTTTTGTTGTTTTGGGTTGGTGTGGGACCAAGCTATCCAAAAATGTTGGGGTTCAAATTTTCCGACCCCTTGGCCCCCCTGAGAGAGGCATTTTTTTAAAATCAAGACCCCTATGAATGAGGACATGGCTATCTCCGCCAATACTGGTTGGATTTTCATAATCTGAAGTTCATTCTCGTGTTTTTTCATCATGCCGACCCCATCTATGATACACTTAAAGCGATTGGAAGTAGTTTTCATTGACTCCCGGTGGGGAATACCAATTTCCGGTGTCAAATTCGGATTGATTTCAGCCAATAATTTGTAGATTTTCATGATCTGAAGTTTATTCTGTTTTTTATACGCCCACATTTTCATGTGGATGTATATTGTCGTCGTCTCTGTCCGTCCCCGGACGTCCGTCCATCCGTCCACAATTTGTTTGTGGACACTCTACAGGTCACAATTCTTATCCGATTTTAACGAAACTTGAAATAGAGGTTTATCTCCAACAAATTTCAGTTGCTTTCGATATTGGCATGTATCGGATCGAAACTTCATGGATTATGGCCCCGGATTGTACGAAAATCACGTTTTTAGCTTGTGGGCCCTATAGAGGTCACAATTTTAATCCTATTTTGATGAAACTTGAAATGTAAGTTTATAACCCAAAACTCTCGGTCTCTTTCGATATTCGCGCATATCAGACTTTAACTTCTTGAATTATGACCCCCGGATGTACGAAAAATCGCATTTTAACCTTGTGGACCCTATAGAGGTCATAATTTTTATCCGATTTAAAAAAAAACGTTTTAAAATATCACCTTTACACCCTAAGGGTGGTTGAGTTCGAATTTCGTGAAAATCGGCAAAAAATGACAGACAAAATGGCCGCCCCTCGTTCTTAAATAGCGTAAAAATATGTATATCAAGGTTGTGGACCCTATAGAGGTCACAATGTTTATCCGATTTTGTTGAAACTTGAAATTTAAGTTTATAACCCAAAGATCTCGGTTCCTTTTGATATTCGTGCATATTGGACCGTAACTTCCTTAATTATGGCTTTTAGCTTGTGGACCCTATAGAGGTCATAATTTTTATCCGATTTAAAAAAACTGTTTTAGAATATCACCGTTACACCCTAAGGATGGCTGAGTACGAATTTCGTGAAAATCAGCCCAAAACGGACAGACAAAATGGCCGCCCTTCGTTCTCAAATAGCGTAAAAATATGATGGGGTCGGCCTGATGAAATAAAAACCAGAATAAACTTCAGATCATGAAAATCCAACCATTATTGGCGGAGATAGCCATGTTCTCGTTCAGAGGTGTCCCGATTTCAAAAATGCCTCTCCCAGAGGGGTCAAGGGTTCAGAAAATTTGAACCCCAACATTTTGGATAGCTTGGTCCCTAATCAACCCAAAACAACAAAAAAAATCAATTTTAGAATACAAATCCCACGGGAGCTGTTTTTATGACATATCATACCACACTACTAGTTTATCTATTTGTGTTATTCATTCTAAATGATTTTATTTCAGGCACGTGTAACCGGCCCATAGATTTAGCATTTATTATTGATGGTTCTGGAAGCATAGGATTTTCAAATTTTAACAAGATTCTACGATTCGTCACGGAAGTAGTAAAAGGTTTGAATATCGGACCTGACAAAACACAAGTCGCTGTTGTTAAATTTAGTACTAACGCTAGGGTAGAATTCTATCTGAACAGCTACACGGATATTGTACGTTTAACACAGGCTGTGACGAATATAAACTATTCTGGTGGGAATACCAATACAACAGAGGCGTTAAAAGTCACTGCTGATCGTATTTTTGTCCAGAGAAATGGAATGCGATCCGAAGCAGCGAGGGTGGCCGTTGTTGTAACCGATGGACAATCTAATGATCCACTTCGGACTATAGCAGCTGCCCCAATATTAAAATCTGCAGGAGCTGTAGTGTTTTCTATTGGAGTTGGAAGTGTGAATCTATTGGAATTAGAAACCATTTCCTCGGATGTTGATTGCACCCATGTGTTTATTTTGAATGATTTCAATGAAATCGAGACCATCACATCTGATATACAGAAAAAGGCGTGTCGAGGTAAAATATTATTATTATTATTACACCCATATTTCTAATGCATCATATATGATCAAAATCGAATATTTTATTACTGCTTCGCTGTGTGATTATCTAATGTTAAAAAATAAACTTCATTTATTTTTCAGTCCACCAGAATTTAAAGTACAATTCGCGTATAACAATACCTTTAACAGGAAATAAAACGGAAATAAATGTCAAGATTCCACCTCATGTCAACAGCTCGCTTATAGTAAGCATATTGTATTATAAACAATATACACTACAGTTTGCTTATAGTAAGAATATTGTATTATTAACAATATACACCACAGTTTGCTTATAGTAAGCATATTTTATTATTAACAATATACACTACAGTAAGCATATTTTATTATTAACAATATACACCACAGTTTGCTTACATTCTACTATCAACAAAATACACCAGAAAGTATAATACGTGTGGAAGTTTCTAATATTAGCATTTTCGCTTTCTTTTTGTAAATTTTCAGACAAATGTGACGTGTGGTGTAGTTAAGATCTATGTTTCTTATGATTCCTCCAACCCAAGCGATGCTCTGTATACACATCGTGATGTGGCATTACCCGGGAATCCTTCGGTAATGCCTATAGAGAATGGAAAACAAGCAGTCATCATGTATGAAGGTGCCAGATATAAAGAACCAGTACTAAGAACCGTTGGGTGTGAAGAACCTGTTTTTACATCATCTGTTCAAGCAAATCCTTTAGGTAAAGTAACCAACTGTAATTAACGTATAAGCTTTAATTTCAAAGTGTTTTTTTTAACTCAATGAATTTGCAATGTTATTAAATTTTATAAGATGCAGCATTAACGTCCTCTTTGTTAGATGTTATAAGATATGTCCTTTTATTAAATTTTATAAGATATGGTATTAAATGTCCCTTTATTAATTGTTATAAGATACGATATTAACAGCGCTTTGTTAAATGTTATAAGATACGGTATTAACAGCCCTTTATTAATTGTTATGTAATATATAGGGCATTAACTGTCCTGTTATATACCAGATATGGTATTAACTGTTCCTTTATTAAATGTTATAAGATTCGGTAATAACAGTCCCTTTATTACATGTTATATAATAGATACGATATTAACTGCCCCTTTATTAAATGTTATAAGATACGGTATTAACGACCCCTAAGATACGGTATTAACTGCCCCTTTATTAAATGTTATAAGATATGGTATTAACGGCCCCTAAGATATGGTATTAACTGTCCCTTTATTAATTTTTAATAATAGATACGGTATTAACTGCCCCTTTATTAAATATTATGTAATAGATACGGTATTAACTTTTCCTTTAAAGGTGCTGAAATTATTTGTCGTACGAATGGAATTGAACACGATTGTACAAAGAAAGATTTCCAACTGAGTGGATTTGGTAAATATTTCCCAGATGGTAAGTTCTATCTAATAGATAACAAATTATCTGTGACTTTTTAAAAATCTTTGGCATGCACGAAACACATTATGATTACTCTATTCGGAACACCTGATGTCACTTGTCGTTTTCATGATTTCACGTAGCTAACATTGTTTTATGATATATAGTATTCATCATGACAATTCGGATTGTTTATGCTGTATTTGTAGTTTGTTGTACTGTTTAACAATAGCCGCGGTGGCTCAGTGAGTAAGACGTTGCCTCGCTAACCTGGAGGCTCCTTGTTCCATTCCTGCGTTGGCCGAGAACGTTCATTAGGATATTCCGGCATGGCCCTCTCTTGTTAGTGGTATAGGACAGGGGTTCTGACAATAGACAACGTATAATGGCTCGGATAGGCCGAAAAAACATGGCTTGGAAGTACAAAAAAAAAATCCGTTGACAGTTGGAATTCGTTACAAGAGTAGGCCGTAACGCCGCTATCCGGGCAAATGTTCCCAATGTATACTGTCCGGGGTATGCTTGTCTTCATTTGCCCAGTTGGAGCAGAACAGTAGGATGCTAACTCCATTTCATTTTATGTAGATTTCCACCATGTTTATATTGATTATCTAATTTCAGATGATTTTGGAAAGACGCATTGTGACCGGAACGCCCCTGACGGTGTTGAAAAATATGTTTTCCAAAATATTGATCGGGATCCCACTAAGTTTATAAGATGTGATGCCAATGGGAACGCGTTTGTTACTCAATGTCCTTTGGGGCATGAGCGGAATTGGACTGATTATACATTTTCATGTGGTACACTCAAACGCCCACCACTTAAATCAACAGATTATTTACCGACGGTTAATGAGAGTCGGAACACGAATCCAACTGACGAAACTAAAGATATCGTCGATACTTTCGCTGATTTTTACAAACTGATTAATGAGGTTTTCAACAAAACAAGTAAGTGTATTTAAACATCAAACTATACAGTTTCTCTGTTAGACATGAGTTTTTTAATATCCCGGAACCCTGATGATTGTATGATCTGTTTCATACGTGAGAAATGGCTGATATACACCTTTTAGTTTATGATATAATCATACATTATTAAACATACATTATACAAGAGCTAAATCTGCCTACTGCAGGTCTTTCTTTAGGCCTGAAATGTTATCTAAATTATTAATTAGACATTAATTAACTTATCCAGACCATAATCAACTCTCGATGCCATCGCTAGTCTGCCATATTTACTGGATTAGGATCAGATTTGCTGCTCAACTATCATTGATGATTAGATCATGAAATGGATACTCGAGACTATGTATTTTATCGTACCGACTTTAGTAATGATGTTCGAGATTAGGCCGAAAATTCAATCGCTAAATTCTCGGTTCAGAGTGGATCAATGTAACTGAATTTTTTTAGTGAATACGCTTTACGTTATCTAGTTTTTAACTATTATAGTGGGAACTGTCAGTTCTTTATCTAATCTCCCATAATGTATCTTTAAATAAATATTGTTAACCGATCCCTCGTCCTTCTTGTTTAATTGTTGTTTATTGCTTGCAATGTCCGTGTACATTGTAGTGTCTGACTAGATTGTTATTATTTGTTATTCTAGTGCGGAGTGAAGTTGTGTGTCGTAGATATGGTCAAGAGGTCAACTGTACACTATTTGATATTCAGATCAGTGAATACAGTAAATATCTGGTTAAAGGTAAATATGTTTATTTCCTGTTCTTTAACGTCCACTCGACACAAACTAGGTCATTTTGAGACTAACATATGGTTCAATTTTATTTCAATAATTCGCTTGCGCGTAGGGATCTTGTCTTTAGCAAGGGGGGGGGGGGGGACGGGGTTGGACCAGCGACCCTACTCAGATGACTCAATGACAGATCTTACGATACAACGCGCACGCTAACCATTCGGCCATCCAAACTCCTTCTTACATGCACTGTAGTCTTTTAACATCTGTCACCATCTCATTTGCGTCATCTTCCGCAAGTCGCGAGGGTGGGGAATTGGAAGAGGCTTCATCAGTAGAACACCCTAGAGCACAGTGTTCCATATTAATCTGTTAAATACACCCTTACTTCTATCATAGAAACGATAAATGTTTATCTGACAAAAACTTTACTGTAATACATTTATTTATTTTCAATTTTAGATTCGTGGAATGGCGTACCAAATCCATGTGACCCGAATGCTAATTTCAGATCCGATAAGGGGAATTTATTGAAGGAAAATCCCCTTGACGTCAGAAAGTTTATTATTTGTACAAAGCAAGATAATATCATGTATGTTACTCAATGTCCAAAGGATTTACATTATTTCCCTGATGACTTTGAGTGTCGTCCATCAAATCGAGATGCAAGCCCCCCATAAAATAATTGTAAACAAAGTTGTTGACATGATTAATAATATGCTAGTGTGATTAATCAAGGAAGTTGATTTCATCTAGAATGTAAAGATGTTTTATTTGGAAATTCCCAGTAGCCCCAGAAGATATATTTACAAAAATTATCCTCCAACATTTGTCTCTTAAAAACTGATTGTAAAAAAAGTCACATTTTAAAGATACATTATGTAAGATTTAGATAAAGAGTTGATCGTTCTTACTGTAATATTTCACAAATAGATAATGCAAAATGAATATATTGTTTATTATGGTAACAACGGTACTTAGCGTAGATTCGCCCTTAGCCTTGTTTCACCCTTTTTAAATTAAATTATTAAATGGCGACCGTCTTTTAATCCGTATAAATCTCCGCCATCCGATCGAGTTGATATAGGTTTGTCATGTGATTAAATGTCTAAATAATAGCCTATATAACATGTAAAGCCAAAATAAGACAGATTTGGCTTTTAAAGAATGCTTCTTTAACTGTTCTTTATAGAATAAAACACATTACATCGTGCATCATTGGCTATACTCTTAAAGGAGTCAAACTTCTAACTGAACAATTTTCAGTTATATTTCAAATAAAAAAAAACCGAAAAAGTCAATTTCAATCAATGTTGATGTTGTTAACTTGCTGTGAAATATGGGATCCTAAAATCCATTATTTAAGACACGATGAACATTTCACAATCAGTATGGTTCCAGAAACCATTTGTAATGAACATGGAAAAATGTGACAAAGTGATCTATACCTTTCATCAAATTGAACGATCATTTAGGTGCATAGATCTTTATGACCTCTGCTGGTTTTGATAATATATGATATTGACGTTTCAACTCTGCATAAACTTCTGTTAAGGCACGGACTGACTACGATCTTATTAAACATCTAATTAATTCAATATGTCCTTTACAAACTACACATGATCTGTGTGTAACACTCGGCAGAATTTTATGACTTCAAAAGAAATACGCAGTGCAGTTACAGATACCATAATCTGATAAATAAACAATACCATATATGTTGATTCATTCTTGTCCATTTTCCCTGATTGTTGGACGCTATATAAGCAAGGGTTTGCTGACAGTAAGTCGGACTTGGAATAGAGCTCCTCCCGATTTATGTCTATGTTCTTAATAAAGGTCTTATCAATTACGCTGATCTTCTGTTATCGGTAGTGTTACAGATAATACCCGACAAGATTAATTAGAAATTACATTAATTCTTTTACAAAATAAATAAAAAGAACTGATACACATTCATATTATATAAATATGTGTATTTTGACCCAATTCCGTCTTTCTATAATTCCAATGAATAAAGCCATGTACCAATTAAGAACAAATTGAAAGTAGGGTTATTGTAAAAGCTTAATTGTTCTTCATAGAACCATTCACTTGTATTATACAATTATATGTCCTTTCTTCAGTTGTAATATTCTTTCTATTTTTGTATTATTATTTCCTATGTAACATATTCTTTTTTGTAATGTTCTTTTTAGTTGTATTAATCCCTCCTTTATTGTGATATTCTTTCAATTCTCGATTTAATTTAATGACCTTCGTGACTATATATGTTGCAATATTAATACTATTAATTAATCATTTCCGATTCCCTTTTATAGAATATCCGACACCTTCCAATATTGAAACATATTTGGCTATTTTTCAATAACACGTGTAATTTGACTTATTATAAGAATTTGGGTTAATTGGAAACGTTTTATACAGATAGAGATTTAGAATTGAATGTTGGATATTCTTTCTGACGGGTAAATCAGCTATATTTTAAAATATTATATTCACTTTAAAGTCTCTAGCGTGAAGGCATTAAAAACTAATGTCAAAGTAACTATTCTCATAATATGTGTTTGCTTTCAGCGTGTTGTCAAATTGGGGTAAATTGTTATTTGATTACAATCAATTTCAAGTGTAACTTTATCGTAAAATAGTAATTAATTTTCAGAAAAATTTTATATGTTGATTTTATTTATTGTAACATGTGATGATGAATATAAGAAAAATATTGAACGTAAAAATAAATATAATGAAATATATTAATCGGTTTACGTGTAAAACAATTCCAAGCATAAACTAACATCTTGTTGAAGATTAAGACACTGTACGAACTGCCACCATTTTCGGTTGAGCAACATGTTGACCAGGTGCGATGTTGGTGAAAACGTTGATAGTTTGTACAGTTGGAAACATTCAGTAACATGTTTTCCAAATGTTGCCGAAATAAATACAAGATCAATTATGTTGCCGAGATGCTAATGATGGGGCTGAGTTTTATCCAGTCAGAAATGGGCCATAAATCGCCTGATATACCTGGGGTCAAGTGATGTAGACAAAATGGCAGCTACCAGCAAGGAATGGTTAAGTTGCCCAACATGTTGTCGAACTGTTGCCGTGTGTATACAGGGCCAAATTTTTGTTGCTCAACTTTGTTGCCAAGGTGTCTTTCCGAAAATGTTACTGAAAATGTTGGCAGTGTGTACAGAGCTTAACAGAGTCCATGTCCAAATATGGAGTTGCGTGCAACTGTGAATAGCGACCGTTTACAGACTCTGGTGGGCCTCGGTATTTTGACCTCGCCAGTCCCACTGTCCATCAACACCGAAGGGGGAAATAAGACTGTATTAGCGAGCTAGGTCGGTAACCACCTGATTGATTGCATGTTCGATTCTCACTACAGATGGTTGTTGAATCTGCGTGTCCTTGTGTATTGTCACACTACCCCCTTTATTTCAGTCTTGTTACTGTGTGTTTTGTGAATTTAATTCTGTGTGTTGTTGAGAACTGACCTCTAAGGGGAGATAAGACCAATCGGATTAAAATACAGATCTATATTTCATTTGTTATTGTATACTTTCGATGGCCTTCACTACACGATGATCTTGCCGGTCGTAGTGAAAGGCTGCGTCAGAGGTCATACGAGTGGCTTTTGACCCCATGACGTCAGACATTAGGAAGATCTCGGTGTGCCGCGGACCAGTGTGCGTTGTGAATCACTGTTCTGGTGCACCTTACGCCAAGAACTCGCCGTAACACACCGTTTCATTGGCTAATCCCTCACATTATCCAGAACGTGGGTTATATAACAATTCTTCCAGATCCTAGTCTAGTAAAGACAAGTAAAGCAAAATTTTGAACTATAAAAAACGGAACGAAATAGGATCTGTGTTTTAATCAGAGTTGAGATAAGACACGCTTCTTACCAGGAACCTATGATAAGTGATCGAGAGAGACAGAGAGGATTTGACTTCAACTCGAAACAATCTACGTCATATAGTTCAATCTACGTCATATAGTTCAATCTACGTCATATAGTTCAATCTAACTTCAATAATTCAGATAGTAGAGAGAGAGACGAATGTAGTGCGAGTTATAAATAGACAATTTTTCCTTTAATTTTTTCTCCCTCTTCCTGCATTTTTGGTTGACGTTTTGGTCTATAATTGGAGAAAAGGGATCAAATTTGCAATTCCATAGCAGTATTGGGTAATGTAGTGCGAGTTATAAATAGACAATTTTTCCATTATTTTTTTTTCTCCCCTCTACCTGCATTTTTGGGTTGACTTGGAGAAAAGGGATCAAATTTGCAATTTCATAGCAGTTTTTGGTAATACAGATGATTTTACAGCGGAGGGATAGGGGGTGTAAAGTGTCTTTCTGCAGAGCAATCATTGTGTCGGAAGTGAGATTTTCACCCCAGTCAACATCAAATCCCCGCAGCAAAACATCTAAACAGTCACCCCCTACAAAATTGTGATGAGGAGATTGCCAAATGTGGTCCCCATTGTTCCTATAAAGATTGGAACCAACGGAATCTTGAGCAAAAGGTTACAGCCTGGTGATGTTACAGCCATTTAACACTGAAGTCAATGGGCAAAAGTCCATCTAGGTCCATCTAGGTCATGTTGGAATTTACATATGGTTCAATCTAACTTCAATAATTCAGATAGTAAAGAGAGATAGATAGAGAGAGAGAGAGAGAGAGAGGGGGGGGGATTAACGTCCACTCGACACAAACCAGGTCATTTCGGGACTTACACATGGTTCAACTTTATTTTAATAATTTACGGGTTTTTAGCTGTGGGAAGAAACCGGAGAAAACCCACGAAGCCGGACAGGCGACACGCAACTCCTTGTCATGTACACTCTTCGAACCGAAACCATGCTACGTGACTCAAAGACAAACCTAGTGATCTAACATACCCGACCATTTAGCCACCCAAATCTCCTCGAGTTGGAGACATAACGCCAGTAGCAAGAGGAAGCCCTGTATTTTGAAACCACCACACCCTACAGAAATGGGAAGGTTACATAGCAAGGTAATAATTTCGAACGGATTGTACCTGGGACATTTTGAGACAAACAAAAGACAATTTAGATATTATATCGTTTGTCCGTTTGTCTATTCGCGGTTGGTGGCTACACTAGGATTGGTGGCTACACTAGGGCTGGAAGTTTGTTCGTTTGTTGGCGGTTGGTGGCTACACTAGGGCTGGTGGTGTGTCTGTTGGCGCTTGGTGGCTACATTAGGGCTGGTTGTTTGTTCGTTTGTTGGCGGTTGGTGGGTATACTAGAGCTGGTGTTTTGTCTGTTCGCGGTTGGTGGCTACACTAGGGCTGGTAGTTTGTATTTTTGCTGTTGCTGACTGATATTTGGGGTATAGGGGCAGCTCTAGCTGTGGGGTTGCATACGTACATTGGCATGACACTGCAACTTTAAATTTCATGGTTTTTACTTTAATGAATAATTTAAAGTAAGAAATGTCTGAATCAAACAAAACAAGAGATAAAAAAAATCTATGAAGAATTTGGCATTTATTATTTTCATACAAAAAAATACAAAAAAAAGCAACACAGATAAGCGAAAATTTAATGAATTAAGAGAAGACATGTCTTGAAATGACATTTAAAATAGACGCCTTCTCGTATTACCTGCATACAGCATTTCTTCGTTTCGTTGTGAAATTTCCGGTAGTTCTAATTTTTATAGCAGAATAAAAATTACGCGGGAAATAAAGGAATCCCGATCATCAAGTCACATTATCACTATTTTTTGGCGTTCGCCATTCTCCGTTTTGGGAGAATGATAGATACCGGCAAATAACCCTCTGCTGTCAAAATCGCCCACTAAATAATTGGGAAATGCCAATGATATACAGTGAGAATTACGGACTGTTGGTACTATTTGATACTTGGTACTATTCAGCTAAAATCACAATTGTAACAAACAGTACAGCGCGTCCTTATCTAAAAAAACTCTCATAAAAGGGTATTCAAGAAATATCTCTCGCTCGAGGGTAGACCACCTCTCCTTATGTCCCAGTGCCCCAGCTTGGTTACAAAATGCGCTGGTCAATACACAGTTATCATTTGCAAATTTCAGAACTAGATCGATCCCTTAGACCTAATACAGAGCCGTGTGGTACACCATACAGCAGTTATTTTAGATTTGATATTGTTTGTGTTGTAGGGGTTTTTTTTGAGGAAGGGGGGGGGTAACAATATTTTTTTTAAATATATAAAAGCGAATCAAGGAACAGACATAGCCTATATCACACCTCTACTCATACAAGGAATATAAAACATATCATAAACTGTTTTGTACATGTTATGAAATAATGGGGAAAAATCATATAAAGAAAATAAGTTATATACACACTATTCATAACAAATGAAAAAGAGGAAGTGCTTGTTTATAACATGATTATTCATTATTCAGAAAATAAAATCTCTTTAAATATTAAAACGACTGGTGACATCAAAGTATTCATCCAGTCATTCCGTAATTTTGACGATATGGTTGTGTGTATTGAGTTATACGTATAAGACTCAACGACCCTGTCTCTTGTTCGAGAGTGGTAGATAGATGTTCGGTCGGTGGTCCATAGTAAGTTCATCCAGTCCTTCGTAGTCGGAGGAAGTAGGGGTATATATCGTGTTTACATATTCTACAGAATCACCAGTATCTACAGGACTATTACAATGTCTGGTGGTATTATCTCTGGACTGGGAGCTTACTGTGTCATTAACACCGTGTCCATCATTTGCTGAAAATAAACAAAATTGAACTAAATTACCCGATCACCATTTCATAGTCAATATACCCAACCGCCCCTCGCATTTCACACGTTCGTATGAAAACAAATAATATCTTTTACTTTCGCCAATATACCGGAAGGTCAATTTACGTTCATTTCTCTGCACACTAAATGAGAAATATAATTTGGGGTTCTAGAAAGACACGCCTACCTTCCATCGTGCACGACAACAGTCTCTGTACCAAACTGTGGAATTATATTTGACCTTGATGTTCGCGTATTGACAATAACGTCGTTTGGTAGAAGTCTTTAGGGTTCAGCATGACCCCCGTCTTATTTAGCCAGGTTGGTGCGGAAACGCAGAACGTTACAACCCACCTCCTTTCATTTCATATTGACCTTAACAACAGAGGTGATTCTTTGTCTAGGAACCAAGAAAGATATAGCAAACTTACACATAATGGCATCTCTTCTCTTTCTTATGCCCCATATAATAACAGATAAGACACCTGAAACAACCAGACCAATACTAACACCTATAGCTATACCAACTCCTAGCTTGTCATCGACTGATTCCTTTACTATGCCCTCTTTAGACATCTTGTCATCGACAGCTTCTTTTACTGTGTCTTTACACGGCTTGTCATCGACAGCCTCCTTTAATGTGTCCTCTTTAGACATCTTGTCATCGACAGCTTCCTTTACAGCTTCCTTTACAGCGGTTTCTCCGCGTGGTACAACTATAACATCCTTAGTTACAACAACTATAGTCTGGGTAGTCATAACAACTGGGGTACCTAAAATATCACAACAATTTGTCAGTGAAAAAGAATATTAGATCAGTAAAACTAATGTCGACTCGGTGCTGGCAGTTGGCAATACTTTTGACGCTCTTCTGACCAAATATAATTTCTCCAGTTTACATCCTGGGTATCAGTGTCCGCCGAAAACCCATGAGATAAATGAAATGAAATAGGGTTTAAAGTCCTACCGTTCATTTCCGACTGGGTTATATAAGACCGGAAACCCATGGGACAGACAGTCACTGAATAGGACAGCATACCAGAGGATATTCGATCGCAAGACCGCTTACGTCACCTTGTTCATGCAATTCTCAGTTATATTTTGTATCAAACGAAATCACACACCACCGCATCGGATCGCAAGGGTGACATAATCCCCGCTTTCTGGATTGTATACTTGTATACTTACATCTTACAACGAGTGGAATAGTTTTAGATACAGGTTGGCCAATATTATTACTAGCTGTACAGGTATAGTTATCTGTATGTTGACAACTAGCTTTCGGTATGGTATATTGACTACCAGAATAGAGTTGTCCCCCTTGTTGTGATCTGGACCAGGATACACGTGCCGCCGGGATACTTTCAACCAAACAGTTAATAGTAACACTGGCGTTTTCATCTATTAATATTTTGTCAACGGCATCAGATGTTATTGTTCTTATTATTGGTTGATCTATAATATACACAGGAAAAAAATGCTATTTCAATATTATAATTTAGAAAAAGTGACTTCACCTACGTCCTTGATTACGAAACTGTGTTATATTCTGATAATATCCAAATCACATTTTTTATTTATATTTGATCACGCTCTTTGTTATCACGTTTTATTTATGTAAATGTGTTTTTGTCTTGTTCTATAATCCGGGGCGTTAATAACGATTTTGTTTGGGAGGTGTTTAGCCAAAATGCGACCGCACTGCATGCACATACTCCTAGTACGAGTTTTCTAGGGGCCACGTGCAGTAGCGGATCGAGACGCTGGGAATAGGGGGTGGGGGTGGGGCGGATCAAAATCTAGGGCGCCATCCACAATCCCACCCCACAATGGATGTCAACAAAATACTGGTAGAACGTAGATAGTATTGTATAATTATATAGTTGTTCGCCGATCGTTGTCTCGCCGGAAAGCAGTTTTATTTATGTTGACATAAAGTTTATGTCAAATATGATGATTGTGCATATAACACTGAGCAACCTGAGAAAAATTGAGTCAATATCCTGGCATTTGGGGTCATTGCTGGGAGAAATTCTTGTGGACGAGAGGACCAGAAATGTGAGTCAATTGGACAGAATCTCGAGATCTTTCCCTGTCAATTCCGCCTGTTTTGCAAGAGTTGACATAACATTTGTACAGTCCGACGCCCCACGACCCACACAACAGTGGTACTACTAATATAACAAGGCAGTTGACTATAACCGTGAATATGATAGTGCTGAGACAGTATAAAACAACAGAGGAGTGGAAGACTGTTATAATGGAATCGAGCGCCGCCGGCGCGACAAAAATACAGATATGTAACCGAGCTTTTGATTTTTTGGGACTCGGCCTGAACATTTTAGTCAATGTCATGGCAAATGGGACCAATTTCTCGTTAACGAGAGGATAAGAAATGGGACAGAATCTTGAGGCATATCTGTCAATTTCGCCTGTTTTGTGAGAGTAGAAATAACAATTCTACAGTCTGTCGACCCACTCACTAATGGTACTACTAACTGGGTGATTTACTGTAACTGTGAATATGATAGTGATGAGATAGTATAAGGCAGAGGAGTTGAAGAATGATGACATAATGGAATTGAGCGCCGATTTGTAACTGAGCTTTTGATTTTTGAGGACTGGTCCTGAGGGCACTTTATCTCAATGGGGCGCTTACTTGGTCTTTGAAATGCCCTGGACTTTGGGAAGAAATTTTTGCAGAATTCTGATGGTCAGAAAACACTTACATGAGTAAAATACGTTTCAATTTCTCCTGGGATTGAATATGCTACAAGTAAAAATTCTTAAGTGCAATAGATCGCCTTAAAATTTCATAATTTAAAGATTTTTTTAGGTATTTCTGAAACAAACTATGCTTCCGATAACTTCTTACCAACTGTTCGACTAATATTATTCGTATGACAATCAAGAATATATTTCTTAGACCAACATACTCATAACAGGGAAGGGGTGGATGGCTGAATGGTTAGCGTGCGCGCGGTGTGTCATAAAGTCTGTCATTGAGTCGACTGGCGTGGTTTCAAATCCCCGGTTGTACGTGACAAGGAGTAGGGTCGCCTGTCCAACCTCGTGGGTTTTTTCCGGGTCCTCTACGCGCAAGCGAATTATTGAAATAAAATTAAAAACCATATGTTAGTCCCGAAATGACCTAGTTTGTGTCGAGTGGACGTTAAACCCCATTTCTCTCTCTCTCTCATAACAGGGATTTTTTTTTCAAACATGACATGCTGACTAGGTTATTTTATACTATACCGCTGCAATTGAGGTGCACGGATTCACGTAAAATTATTCCCTTCTATTTTGGCACTGTTTGTTTAATTCATTTAGTCTGAGACCGACTGCGGTGAGCACTCTTTTTTTTTTTGGGGGGGGGGGACATTTCTTAGAACACCATACAAAAGAATAAGAGTGCAAAACATTTTTTTCAGACATGACAAGCAGGCATGGTTATTTTATACTATAGTTTTGTGTGACGTATGCATAATTTTGAGACCGACTGCAGTGATTGCACTTATTTTGAGACCGACTATTTTTCTGCCTTGGGAAAATTTTGTCCTTAGAATAACATACTCACAACAGAATAAGAATGAAACACAACATTTTTTCAAGCATAAGTGGACAAGGTTATTTTATACTAAAGTGTTGCGTGAGTAGCGTGACGTATGCAGTGAACGTTTACTTTGATACCGACTGTTTTTATTTTACGACCGACTGCACTGATTTTGTTGGAACCGATATAGCTGTTCCTTAGAACTTTTGTCACCTATAGATTAATATGATAAAGGGACTTGTGGCATGAATAGAGTAATATCATAAAGGGACCAACCTTGTATTTTCTTCCTACAATATACATCTGTGTCTTCTCCTCTGTAGCCAGATGTCCATATCCAATCGGTTCGCTTGCGAATTGATTCATGCGCTATTGAAGCAGCATCCCAGTTCCCGTCCTCAAACCTAAAACAAAGAGAGGAGGAAACCGGAGAACCCGGAGAAAAAACACGGGTTTGGACAGGCGACCCTACTCTTTGTCACGTACAACCTAGGAATCGACACCACGCCAGTTGATTCAATGATAGACCTAATGATACAGCGCGCACATGCTAACCATTCGGCCATCCAAACCCCCTTTGACTTAACGGGGACGAAAAGGTCATCAAAAAGGGTATCTATGTCACGATATTGGTGTTTTTGTCGGAGAGAGAGAGAGAGAGAGAGACAGACAGACAGACAGATAGGATTTAACGTCCACCCGACACGAACTAGGTCATTTACGAACGTGGTTCTCTTTTATTTCATTTCATTAGTAGGGAACGGGGGCGGGGGGCCTGGGGCTAGGCATGCTGATAGATATGTATAGATGCTGAATCAAACAATGAAGCGAAGATAAAGTGACCTTTAATCCGAAACGTTAAATTCGAATAAATCACTCTCCGTTTATATCTAAGGGAAAAGAATACTTTTAAAAACAACTGATATTTATTAAACATACATTATGCAAGAACTAAATCTGCCTATTGTAGCTCTTTCTTTAGGCATGAAATGTTATATCAACTATTAATTAGACATTTATTAACAAAACAAGACCATAATCAACTCTCGATAGCATGGGATACTCGGGATTTTAACTAGATTAGATCGATTCGCAATTTAAAAAGGCTACGTCTCGAATATACCGGTGTCCTGGTTACCACAATGCACACAACTACAAACAGTCATAACTTGACTCAGAATGGATTAATTTGAATGAAATTTTCAATAATTTTATTTTACATTATCTATTTTTGAGCTGTTATAGTAAGAATGGTCAGCTCTTTATCTAAATCTTACATAACGTATCTTTAACTATTTTTTAATCCTTTTAGTTTATAAGTCTGTGATTGTAGGAAACCGCACCTAAATAAAAGTTGAGTCCGAGATCTTGATAAGAACTAAATATTTCAATAATCATACAACTGTTTGTTATAGTAAATGTTTAAGTACATAAACTCTACAGGAAAAGACTCTTCGAGGAGGGGAAGTGTGATAAAGCATGTATGACTAACATTAGAAGTACTATCTATATATATTGTTATAAATAAACCACTCCTCATTTATCTCTTAGTTTTAAATATACAAAAGGAGAGCGAGAGAGAGAGAGAGAGAGAGAGGGAGGGGGTAACGTCCACTCGACACAAACTAGGTCATTTCAGAACTAACACATGGTTCAATTTTATTTCAATAATTCGCTTGCGAGTAGGGGTCTTTAGCAGTGGGAGGAAACCGAACGACCCGGAGAAACCCCACGAGGTAGGACAGGCGACCCATCTCATTGTCGCATAAAACCTGGAAATCGAAACTACCCTAGTTAACTCAATGACACACCTTATGATACACCCCCGCACGTGCCATCCAACGCCCCCCTCCCCCACCACTACCATCTCAGGAGAGAGGGACAATGTGTTTAAATGACTGGCTTAATGAACACTTGCACACACAAGCCTACTCTTATATCGAATTCCAACTGCCAAGGGTTCTTCGACGAGCACGTCAATGTGGGCTCGCGTTTTGGTCCCATCCTGACAAGGGGGAATCAGATCGGAAAATCCAGATGAACTTTCTCGGATTGAAAACTTGACCTTAATAACTTACCCGGGTGTATTCCAGTTTTGTTCAAATTTTGCTGAACATTTCCATGATGTGTCCGTTTTATAAAATTTATTTAAAGTGTAAGTAACGTAGATACCAGCAATGCCTCCTGTGTCCACACAATGTACTCCAAGAACTGTCGTGTTGTCAGGAAGGTCTATTTGTGTTGGGTTTGACCAATCACTATGATTTGTCATTAAAACGCCATCCGCGTAAAAATACATGTCGTCATCGCAGGTTGCCCGTGCTACGATCTTGGCATCAACTAAAAAATGAAATGAAATGGGTTTTAACATCCTACTACTCTGCTCCGACCGGGATAATGAAGACGGACATACGTCTTACAGTGTGCTATGAGGGAAATTTTGCCAGAACAGTGGTGCTACGACCTACTCTTATATCGAAATCTAACTGTCAAGGGTTCTTTTACGTGGACGCCAAAGTGCACAGGTAACCTTTGTTTTTCGTTTAATCCGAACGACTATACGGTATCCTTTGCCAGACCATCCGTCCTACACCACTGACAAGTGGGTACCTCGCCGGAAAATCCCGTTGAACTTTCTGTCCAGTACAGGGATCGAACATGGGTCCTCCAGATTAGCGAGCAAACGTCTTAAATACCGTGGTCCCACATCAAATAAAAGTTATGATAGAATTAAATAGTTATGTAATGTTATGTCGTTTCGGTAATAACTCCTTGAGGTAAGACAAAACTATTATTTTGTCCTTTGCGAATCAGCCATTATTTACTCCCACATTGACTAGAAGAAGTATATGTTTTTCTTTGTTTAAACTACAAATGGCATCCGAAACCATAGAGTACACGACTCGTGTACTCATTTTAATATGCTCATTGTGTCTTATATATTAGTTATTAGGGTCCGATATTTTCAAAGTCAGATATGCATTGAAATATCTCAATACTGACCGCAGTTAATTCTTTGTTTTGCCTTCAAATGTTATATAAATGATTATTTGGATACTAATGACAAACCCATAATTAACTCTATAGATTATCAGACGGCGGAGATTTAAATGGATTGACACGGCCGAGGTAGAGAGAGAGAAATGGGGTTTAACGTCCACTCGACACAAACTAGGTCATTTCGGGACTAACATATGGTTTAATTTTATTTACATAATTCGCTTGCGCGTTGGGGTCTTTAGTAGTGGGAGTAAACCGGAGGACCCGGAGAAAACCCACGAGGTTGGACAGTCGACCCTACTCCTTGCCACGTACAACCGGGGATTCGAAAACCACGCCAGTCGACTCAATTACAGACTTTATGATACAGCGCGCGCACGCTAACCATTCAGCCATCCAAACCCCCCCCCCCCCAGGCCCGGGGGATTTAAAACCTTAACGATAAAATGGATAATAAATATTCTACGATACATCTTCAGTGATAACCGAAGCTACAACTCAGTTTTCAAGTACCGTTGGTAGGATGATGAACGATCAACTCTAAATCTTCAAGTCATAACTTCGCTCATAATGAAGTAATTTGAATGAAATGTTCAATATAACTATTTTACATTATCTATTTTTGAACCAGTATAGCAAGAATTACCAGCTTTAACGAAGCTTCTACTAAGATAATGTATAATAATTATTTTAAAAAGATTATATTACTTACCGTCAATAAACGTTGTAATCGTCAATAACGAAAATAAAATAGATAATCTCCCTGTCGACATCTTAACTATCGTGTTCTGATATCTACTAGGATATAACGTGAATTACTCTCTCCAGTCACAATGTATAAGCTGTTATTATTGGTAAGACCAGTGAAGGTTTTGTTTTACGATCACGCTGCATTCCAACCACACAGTTTTTGTTTTTGGGTTAACCATTAGGATCTGTATTTAGAGGGGTCAATTGTGCATTTAAACCTGCTTGAATAATAAGAACACGAGACGCGACAGTGTCGAGTTTTTGTAATGGATAATTCAAGTATGGTTAAAGGGACAATAAACTCCATCTAAATATGAAACAGGAACGTGTATATAGATATTTAGGCTCAAATATCTTTTTTTAAATACACGGTACATTTAGATCAATATCTACCCTATAAACAGCATTACACAGTAAAAAAAAAAACACAATAAACGAGCTATATGTTCAATAGAATCTCGGTATCTTAGATTTTGCATAAAATGTGAGAGGCTAATAGAACTTTCTTGGCATTTACAGCACATGATAAAATACTTGGTTAAAAAGATCTAGCTTAAAGTCGACACAAATTGGGTTATTTTTATTATATTTGATATCTCTTCTCATATAGGGTTAATTATTCTACACTTATATTAAGGGATTTTCTTAACATATACTAAAATCTGTAATATGTCATATATCTCTGTGGGGCTGAAAAATACCACAGACTAAAATATTTTGATCCAAAGTCTTTTTAATATACATGTATTACCATTGTATGGAGGTCTATGAAATATTTTTAAAAAAAGAACAAAGCTACTGAAATCGTTCAAAAAAGGGATAGCCATAACTTGTAACTTATCGGAAAGGAAAACTGATTTGTTAAGGATCCTTTATGCTTTCGGTCAAACTGATCTATGTCGTATTCGCAAGTTATTCATACATATAATAGAAAGGAAATAAAATAAAATGGGGTTTAACATCCTACTGTTGTGTTCCTACTGGGCTCATGAAGACGGTTACACGTAAGAAAGTACAGAAAGTTCATACGTTTTACGATCTCAATGCTTCTCACCAAATTTGAAAATGTATAGGGTTAGTAGGCTCTATCACATGCATAATGTTTTTGGAACCGGGGGCATAACTCTCGAATGGAAGGTCGCAGAATGTGGAAATTGTTGGGCTTTGTTTTTATTATTGACGCGAAATTTTTAAACAGTCTGTCCAGATCAGTAGCCCCTGCCACATTCACAAGGTTTTCGGAAAAGGTGATTCTACTCCATAACAGACAATCGCAGCTCGTTGAAATTTGACAGGATTCGACCCCTCATTACTCCAATGCCTTCACTCCCATGAAAAAAATAGACATTAAAGACTGTGGTTTCTGCACTATATTAAAGAGTAGGAATACACGTTATGGTTACGTTACCATGCGGTGATTGTGAATTTTGCCCTGGCAGCTGCATTTACGTCTACCCATCCTCCATTTTTAATGATTAAATCTTTTCACGCGAGTTGGCATGTCTTGATTTTTCGTGCCATCAAAAAGAACGGAACTCTGAGGACAGGACATATGAAATGTCCAAAAACAACAATGGTATCAAGTGGATAGAAAGTAAGCATACACTGCTTCTTGCACGAGGCTCTTGGCCAATGTGTATACTGTTGTCACGAGATGTAAGCAGGGCTAGGGCACGTGACTGTTGCCGAGTTAGGGTCGGGGTAAGGCTTAGGGCTAGGTATTGGGTTAAGGTTAGCGCTAGCTCTGTTTACATCACGTGACCTATGACGAAATCTGCAGGTGTGAATGTGGAATAGATCTAACCCAAGTGTGTTTAAAAGAAAAAAATCATCTTTCTCTAGTCGTGAGGATTGTCAGTAGCCCCATAAGTGGAATAGTCTGGGGACCCTCGTTCTGTAAATTCAACACGATTGGTAAGTGTAGAAAAAGTACTCTATAACTTTCATCAAACTAAACGATCATTTAGGTGCTTAGAACTTTATGACCTCAGCTGGTTTTTGATAATATATGATATTGACTTTTCAACTCTGTATAAACTTTTGTTAAGGCACAGACTGGCTATGATCAAATTAAACATGTAATTAATTAATCCCATATGTCATTTAGCCACTACGTATAATCTGTGTTACATGATCCACGTGACTTCAAAGGAATATGCACTGGTTAGTAAGTATACCATGACATGATAAAGAGACAACTGCATGTATGATCATGTGTCTTATCTATTCTCCTGTGTTATTGACAGTTAGGCAGACGACTAGCGACGAGCTGAGACGGGGAGAGTGGACTCACTCGAGTTCAGCCGCTGTGTAGTTATAGAATAATATTCTCCTGATATAACAAACCACTGTAGTTATAGAATAATATTCTCCTGATATAACAAACCACTGTAGTTATAGAATAATATTCTCCTGATATAACAAACCACTGTAGTTATAGAATAATATTCTCCTGATATAACAAACCACTGTAGTTATAGAATAATATTCTCCTGATATAACAAACCACTGTAGTCATAGAATAATATTCTCCTGATATAACAAACCACTGTAGTTATAGAATAATATTCTCCTGATATAACAAACCACTGTAGTCATAGAATAATATTCTCCTGATATAATAAACCAGTGTAGTTATAGAATAATATTCTACTGATATAATAAACCAGTGTAGTTATAGAATAATATTCTCCTGATATAATAAACCAGTGTAGTTATAGAATAATTGATTTATGATTTAATAAAAGAACACTTAGTATAGATCCAATCACTTGGTTTATTATACTGCAACGTTTCCAAGCAAATATCTAATGTATAAATGAGACACGTCATTGGTGAGATATATACTACTTGATAGTTGTTATAAGAATATAAGTCTACTTGCAGTAAGTTTTTTAGTTATTATAAGAATATAAATACGTTAAGTTAACCCAGAGTTATAATCATATAATAATCAGTTTGGTGATAAAATTTTAAACAATGGTTACAGTATTTAATGTATTTTTATATTATAAACAACCAATAATTTATATATGTGGTATATTAATATGAATTATGTTTTTAAAGAATTTTATTGTTTTTATTACATTAATAGATTCAGTTAATATAATAATACAAGTTAACAAATATAACATATAAATTATTGTTTGTATTGTCAATGTATTAATATATTAACTCAAACTATCCAATTTGTTCCATTCTGTAGTTGAACAATGTCCAAAAGATTTGTTGTTTGTCCACAGTTTGTTCATCCAGTCATTTCGTAAGTTTGACCATGTGGTTGTGTGTATTGAGATAAGACTCAATGACCCTGTCTCTTGTTCGAGAGTGGTAGTTCGGTCCATGGTCCATAGTAGGTTCGTCCAGTCCCTCGTAGTTGGGGGAAGTAGAGGTATATATCGTGTTTACATGTTCTACAGAATCACCAGTGTCTACAGGACTATTACAATGTCTGGGAGCTTACTGTGTCATTAACACCGTGTCCATCATTTGCTAAAAATAAACAAAATTGAACTAAATTACCCGATCACCATTTCATAGTCAATATACCCACCCGCCCCTCGCATTTCACACGTTCTTATGAAAACAAATAAATATATTTTGCTTTCGCCAATATACCGGAAGGTCAAATTACATTCAATTCTCTGCACACCAAATTAGAAGTTATATTCGGAGTTCTAGAAAGATACGCCTACGTTACATCGTGCACGACAACAATCTCTGTAGCAAACTGTGGAATTATATTTGGCGTGTTGCCAATAACATCGTTTGGTAGAAGCCTTTAAGGTTCAGCATGACCCCCGTCTTATTTAGCCAGGTTGGTGCGGAAACGCAGAACGTTACAACCCACTTCCGTTCATTTCATATTGACCCCAACAACAGAGGTGATTCTTTGTCTAGGAACCAAGAAAAATATAGCAAACTTACACATGATGGCACCTCTTCTCCTCTTGATACACCATATAATAACAAATAACATACCGGAAACAACCAGACCAATACCAACACCTATAGCTATAGCTATACCAACTCCTAGCTTGTCATCGATAGCTTCCTTTACAGCGTCTTCGTTAGAGATCACAGATAGTGTGTACGTCTTGGAGGTGAAACCCAGACTATTGGTAATATTAACTGTATAATTGCCTCCATCTGCGTATCTAATATCGTGTATAGTTAATGTTTGATGATAGACCACCATCTGTGTGTTTACTTCTTCTACCTGTTACCATGGTAACTGGCTGTTGGCTTCCATCTTGTTGGTGATACTACCAGACGAATACCGGAAGTGGATATGCTAAAACGTTCACTGATATTATACCCGTTTCTCCACGTGGTACAACTATAGTCTGGGTAGTCATAACAACTGGGGTACCTAAAATATCACAACAATTTGTCAGTGAAAATGTCAACTGATGTCGACTCGGTGCTGGCGGTTGACAATACTTCCGAAGCTCTTCTGACCAAATATACTTTCTCCAGTTCATATCGTGGGGGTATCAGTGTCCAAGGCAAACCCATGAGATAAGTGAAATGAAATAGGGTTTAAAGTCCTACCGTTCATATTCGACTGGGCTATTGAAGACCGGAAACCCATGGGACAGACAGTTACTGAATAGGACAGTATACCAGTGGATATCCGATCGGAAGACCGCTTACGTCACCTTGTTCATGCAATTCTAAGTTATATTTTGCATCAAACGTAATCACACATCGCCGTATCGGATCGCAAGGGTGACATAATCTCCGCTTACTAGATTGTATACTTGTATACTTACATCTGACAACGAGTGGAATAGTTTTAGATACAGGTTGACCAATATTATTACTAGCTGTACAGGTATAGTTATCTGTATGTTGACAACTAGCTTTAGGTATGGTATATTGACTACCAGAATAGAGTTGTCCTCCTTGTTGTGATCTGGACCATGATACATGCGCAACTGGGATACTTTCAACCAAACAGTTAATAGTAACACTGGAGTTTTCATCTATTAATATTTTGTCAACGGCATCAGATGTTATTGTTCTTATTATTGGTTCAACTAAAAGATATATACACAAAATCAAAATTAATATTAAAAAAAAAAACATGCCTTCCCCCACGTCCTTGATACATGTTATGTATGGTTTAATGGTCGAGTAATATATTGATGTTTAAATATATTACGCAATGTCTTTAGCTCGAGACCATTAAATAACTTAAAATACAGACACTATCCCGCACGTGCTTTTGAATGAAATACGTCACGCGAGTCCAATATTTCATCTAGTATAGATAATGTACGATTGGCAAGTTGCCCGTACATTCTTGGAAATAATAATGGTACGCCAACATCAAAGGATGACGTCACATCTGTATTTTAAATCCGAATATTATCCAAATAACAATTTTTATACACCGTCGCCCCTGTCCTTTCGTCCGTCCGTCCACAACTTGTTTGTGGACACACTACAGGTCACAATTGTTATCCGATTTTGACGAATCTTGAAGTATAGGTCTATCTCTAAGATCTCGATTCCTTTCGATATTGGTATATATCGGACCATACCATAACTTCATGGATTATGGACCTGATTGTACCACGTTTGTATCTGTGGACAATCTAGAAGTCACAATTTTCATCCGCTTTTGATGAAACTTGATATGCATGTTTATGACCCAAAGATCTTGATTCCTGTCGATATTCGCGCATATCGGATAGTAACTTCCGCAATTATGGCTCTTGATTGTACGAAAAATCGCGTTTTTAGCTTGTGTTCCAAGTAGAGGTCGCAAATATTATCCGATTTAAAAAAACAAACGTTTGATTATATCGCCGTTACACTGTAATGTCGGTTGAGTCCGAATTTCGTGAGAATCGGGCTAAAACAGCCGGACAAAATGGCCGCAAATAGTGTAAAGATATGGTATATCAAGGTTGTGTACCCTCAAGATGTCACAATTTTGATCCGATTTTGATGAAACCAGAAATACATGTTTATAACCCAAAGAACGGAAATAGTGCAAAAAGTATGGTATTTCAAGGTTGGACCCCCTCAAGGCCCAACTTTTGATACGATTTTGGTAAATGTATGTTTATAACCTAAAAGATCTTGTTTCCTTTTGACATTCAGACGGTAACTTCCTGGATTATGGCCTCTGATTATACGAAAAATCGTGTTTCTTAGCTTGCGGATTCTCTAGAGGTCACAAGTGTTATCCGATTTTAAAAACCATTTCACTATATGACCATTCAAACATAATGAAGGTTGAAATCGAATTTCGGAAAAATCGAAACTAAACTGCCCAACAAAATGGTCACTCTTTGTACGCAAATTGTGTAAAAGTATGTAATACGAAGGTTGTGGACCATCTAGAGGTCACAATTTTTATCCGATGTTGATGAAACTTAACATATATCTTTATATCACAAAGGGCTAAGTCCATGTCGATATTTGCGCATTTCAGTCCATAACTTTCTGGATTATGACTCCTGATTGTACGAAAAAAACAAACGCTTTTGTTTTTAGCTTGTTCTCTTGTTATTTATATATTTTATCAAATATGCTCTTTCTTATCTCGTTTTATTATGTAAAGGTAATACTGTCCTTCTCTATAATATCGTCTAGAGCTGAAGATATACGAGAACACAGTTTAGTCCAGGTGAGGATTCTGGCACATTGTAGCATTATCGTCGTTGCGACATTGTTTTTAAATTTATAGACAAGGAATAGAGAAATAAGATGCCTTTATATTTCATTAATTAATATATTTGGCAAGTTAGTAATTTCAAACATATTCACATATATAGTGTGCACTAAATCAACTTAGTCTGTAATTGACAGTTGACATATAAAAAAGATCTCTTTATCGAAAACATATGTCAATTATTTACCACCAGAATTACACGTGAGTGGAATTATTCTAATTGCATCATTTGATTTAAAGTAACCAATCATTTTGTTAATTACACAAGTTCAGGGCCATGATCACGCTTAATTGTGCATGATATTCATTTACCTTTAAAAGAAACCGGGAAACCCTGTAAGTCAGACTTGCATTAGATTCCAGAGATCGAGGGTACATCTGAGTTCCTAGACAGCCGAGAGGCTGGATAGGTGGAGAAGTGGTTTTAGCTATATAGTATTGTAATTTGTGCTATGCTTGTATACCTGTATTCAGTTATATGCTATATAAAATGTAGAAGCGAACTATGCATTATTATTCCTGGTAAGACAAACGTCTTAAGAAACTGGAAGAAGTAAATACACAACGTGAAGCAGAAGTAAAGACAGCTAGAGACAAATTCTAGACGATCACAAGGCTACAGAAATATGTAGGAAGAAAAGATGCATGGGTCGTACGTAGGATGTGGCGACCGGTTTGACAACGTCCGCTCTCCACGTCAGACAGAAAGACTCGTGGTATTACAACAGCGGTCCTAAATTTGTTGAAGCAGATATAAATGTTCCTTGATCATACAGCGTACGAGGGTAAACAAACTCTTTAAAAATTACACAAACTCCCGGCCTTGTGGCACCTATAGAGTAATATAATAAAGGGACTTGTGACACCTATATAGTGATATGATAAAGGGACTTGTGGCACCTCTTAAGTAATATAATAAAGAGACTTGTGGCACCTATAGAGTAATATAATACGGAGACTTGTGGCATCTATAGAGTAATATAATACAGGGACTTGTGGCATCTATAAAGTAATATGATAAAGGGACTTGTGGCATCTATAGAGTAATATGATACAGAGACTTGTGGCACCTGTAGAGTAATATGAAAAAGGGACTTGTGACACCTATAGAGTAATATAATTAAAGGACTTGTGGCATCTATAGAGTAATATGATAACATGACCGACCTTTTATTTTCTTCCTACAATATACATCTGTGTCTTCTGGGTAACCAGATGTCCATAAAGTATTGAAGCAGCACTCCAATTTCCGTCCTCAAAACTAAAACCAACAAAACAGAGACAGAGAAATTGGGCTTTAGGTCCACTCGACACAAACTAGATCAAGCGGGGAATCGCGCCACTTTACACTTTCGGCTTCGTATAACAGCAATAATTTAACTGATTATTTTTGTCGAACAACTTTAATTTATAAATCCTTTATAGTTTATACCTTATTTCAACTTTGGCAAACGTAAAAATCAAATATTACATAGTTGGATGGCCGAATGGTTAGTGCGAGAGAGAGACAGAGAGAGAGAAATGGGGTTTAACGTCCACTCGACACAAACTAGGTCATTTCGGGACTAACATATGGTTTAATTTCATTTCAATAATTCGCATTCGCTTAGAGGTTGAAATAAAATTGAACTATGTGTTAGTCCCGAAACGACCTAGTTTGTGTCGAGTGGACATTAAACCCTATTTCTTTCTCTCTCTCAACATCCCCGTCGTGTTTAAACATATGCTCAATTACTTACCCCGGTGAACTCCAGTTTTCTTCAAATTTTGCTGAACATTTCCATGATGAGTCCGTTGTATAAGTTTGATTTAAAGTGAAAGTAACGTAGATACCAGCCTCGCCCATTGTGTTCACACAATGTACTCCGATAACTGTCGTGTCGTCAGGAAGGTTTATTTGTGTTGGCATTGTCCAATGACTGTAATTTTTCATTGAAACGCCATCCGCGTAAAAATACATGTCGTCATCACAGGCTGCCCGTGCTACGATCTTGGCACCAACTAAAAAATGAAATGAAATGGGGTTTAACGTCCTACTCCAACCGGGCTAATGAAGACAGGCCTGCAACATACAGTGTGCTATAAGGAAAAGATTACCAAGACAGTGGCACTACGGCCTACTCTTATACCGAATTCCAACTGTCAAGGGTTCTTTTACGTACACACCAATGTGTACACGGAACCTCGATTTTTCGTCTAATCCGAACGACTATACGAAACTCTTGCAAGGCCATCTGTCCTGCACCACTGACAAGTGGAAACCTTTCCGCGAAAAGTCGACCAACGCAGGGATCGAACACGGGACCCCCAGGTTAGCGAGCCAACGCCTTAGACACTGTGGATCCCGCAACAATTAAAAGTTGTGATAGAATTAAATAGTTATGTAATGTTATGTCGCTTCGGTAATAACACGCATGCTCGTTGGAACTCCTTGAGGTAAGACAAAACTATTATTCTGTCCTTTGTGAATCAGCCATTACTTACTTGAACATTGTCTAGTAGTAGGACATGTTTTTCTTTGTTCATTACAAACAGGGCCGGCGGAAGCAATTCTTGATTTCGGGGTGGGGGGGAGCTACCGTGCAAGGACTTTAGGCGAAGGTCAAGGGGTCGCCTAGGCCCGGAAGCTCCCGAGGGTATAGACCATCAGAGACGCTTTCTAAACGATTTCTGGCTTGTAAAATTACTCAGCAATGAAGTTTTTATGGGTTTTTGTAATCCCTTACCACGAAAGTGCAGCAGTACATAATATTACCAAGGTTGGGGACATTCTAGATGTCACAGTTTTTATCCGATTATGATGAAACTTACAATATTTATTTATAACCGTAACTTCTTGGATTATGGCCCCTGATTACCTTTTTAGCTTGTGGGAACCCTAGAAGTCACAATTTTTATTGATATCACAGTTACACCATTACAACAGAGTACAAAGTTCATTTGCCTTTTCTTGCTCTTCTGCCTCTTCCAGCCTTTTTTGCTGCTCTTGAACAATGGCTAGAGCAGCTGCCAGGTATAGGCATCTTCTCTTCCCTGCAATGATTGTGTCTCTAACATTCAGCATGTTGTCTCTTCCACAGCCAATCCAAAAATGATCAGGCGTTGGGGAGGCCCCCTTTTTATATGGCGTGCCAAGTCGGCACGACACCGTCCGAATTGCGCAAACTCGTCGTGCCAATGCGGAAAGTGCGTAAACAATGCGCAAACTATGCGTGAACTCGTCGTGCCAGTTCGTGTCAATGTGGACACTGATGGGCACGCATGCGTGAACTCGTCGTGAACTATGCGTGAACTAGTCGTGAACAGTGCGAGAGCCTCCCAGTTCGTGCCCCAAAATGGCACGACTTGCCACGACAAAATCGTGGCCAAAAGTCGTGCAAGTGTCAGCTTGGCTTAAGCCTGTATGTTTTTGTCTATATATACTCAGCCAAATTAAAAACTTGACACTGATGAATTTCAACAATTTTTTTTTTCTGGTTAGTCAAATAAATTTTAAAGTTTTTCTAACGATAGTAAGTAGTAAGAAGCCTTTAATTTCATAAAATTGTAAAGTCACGTGGATCACGTGATTTTTGAGCATATAAAGATGAAAAACCTGAAAAACACGTGCAAACACAAACTCGTGAGGTCAATCGATGCAAGTTTGCTTAAACTGAACACGCACACGTAACTTGAACTTGAAAAACAAATTAAAATTGTTATTTTCACCTTTGTTAGAAAATGCCGCGCCTTTCAAATGTAGAACGTCTACGTGCTATAGGTAGGCTCTATGCTGGTCAGTCTGTGGTCACTGTTGCAAGAGCCTTTAATTCTTCACGCCAGACAATAATTAATCTTAGAATGAGAGTGCTTCAAACTGGAACTATTGCCGACCGCCCAAGGGCGGGAGCGCCACGTGTAACGTCACTCCAGGAAGATCAAGCAATACGATTACGTCAGCTTAGAAACAGATTTGTCACTGCAACCTCCACAAGTAGAGAGATGTTTGGTGGAAGGATAACTGCACAAATTGTTCGAAATCGCTTGCAGGCTGCTGGTCTTCGAGCTCGGAGGCCCTATAATGGATCAATATTGACACCTCTTCATCGCCGTAAACGACTTGTGTGGGCCACAAGACACATAAGATTTACTCAAAGACAGTGGAATTCGGTTGTCTTTAGTGACGAATCTCGATTCACTTTGAGATTTGCCGATGGCAGGGCCCGAGTGTACCGCAGACGAGGTGAACGTTACGCTCAAGTATGCGTCAGAGAAGTTGACCGATTTGGTGGCGGCAGCGTCATGGTTTGGGGTTCTTTTTGTGCACATAGACGTTCTCCTCTTGTTGTTGTCCAAGGGAACTTAAATGCTGTCCAGTATAGGGATCAGATTTTGCAACCTGTTCTTCTTTCGTTTATGCAGAGACATGGGCCTGGACTAACGTTTCAACAAGACAATGCTCGACCCCATACAGCAATTGCTACCCAGAATTTTTTAAGAAATGCCGGTGTCCAAGTCCTGGATTGGCCGTCGCTTAGCCCCGACATTAATCCTATTGAACACATCTGGGACGAACTGGGTCGACGTGTTCGTCAGCAAGGGAATCCACCACTGACGTTGCAGGACCTTCAACATGCTCTTGCGGAGCAGTGGCGACGTCTTCCTCGGTTAGTGTTTACTAATGTTCTGAGATCCATGAGAAGACGTTGTGTGGCAGTACGAGACGCTAGAGGAGGCCACAACCGTTACTAAATACCTTATTCGGATTGTTCTCCAAGTCTGTGAATTTCATTTTGGGGGGTACTGTGACATCACGAACGTTATCAATGTCAAGAAATTCGGGGAGTCGTATTCTTGCTTTCTGTTGATGTCAAGGTCGTCTGTGCACAACATAACACTAAAATAGTTGCCTTAAACCAAATATCAAAAATCTAGTCCCAAATATCCCGAGTGTCAAGTTTTTAATTTGGCTGAGTATCAGTATTTACAGCTTGCTTAAATGCTTATTTTTGTTACACTGTCCTTTTTCGAATAACAGCGTTCACCGTACTCTAAAAGTGTCTTTACTTTATCGGGCGAATAGCATTTGTCGTACTTGTTCTTGAATCTGCAAGTGTCTTTACTTTTTCGTGCGAATAGCATTCGCCGTACTTGTTCTTGAATCTGCAACTTGTCTTTTTCGTGCAATCCTAGATTTGCCTTACTGTCTGAAACAGAAAGGGCAGGGACCTCTTTCACGAGAGGAGGGTATATGCCTTCGGAACGTAGTTTGCCGATATAAGCGACGTAATTTTTTTTTTTTTGGGGGGGGGGGGAGGGGGGTTATAAAGAATTTATTCACTCACTAAAAATATTATACATCATATCAAAAATCCCATCATCTATGTACAAAAACTGTAAACATGTACAAAGATAAAAATTAAAAATTGATTATGGGGAGTGAATAAAGTTAAAATGTTGTTATTATTTACTTTAAATTGCAATTAGAAAAAAAAAATAAAGTACAAATTAACTGTTAACAAAAATATTACCAAAAACGTATATACACCAAATAATATAAAACAATAAACATATTTACAAGCATAATACACATAAACACATGTACAATATTATAATACACAACAAACTATGGCTAATACAACAGAATAATCACAATGCGAAGTGAAAAGAATCTAAATTAAAAGGTTGAGAAGTTATCATAATTCAAAAACTAAAAGACAAATTACCATTTTTATCTATCAAACAAAATAAACCAGGATCAAGCCAATATTTATGAAATTTACTAGGGAATTGATCACTGGTGGCAGAGATACCAATCTTCCCATACCCCAAACGTGGTTATCCCTTCAAGGAAACGATACAGTAGACTATTGTGAAACTGTTGTGACATAAAAACGTATAGAAAAAAAACTATCATTGTTCCTGTTACTTATTTGATTTCGGTATGGTGAGAAAAGACAACGGTGAAGTCATTAAGGAAAGAGATACAACAGTAGACAGTACAGAGCCAACAAACCCCCAGACGATCAAGGGCTGTTCCAAAATATGTAGTATGAAACGATGCATGGGTTATACACCGGATGTGGCGACCGGTTTAGCTCCCATGGCGCTACATTAACCCAGGGATCAGTATAGAGCATAGCAGGGTTTTTTCTTCTGAAAGTCTACGTTTTACTTCTAGATGTCTCACGTCTATGTTAAAATCAGGTCTCTTGAAGTTACGTCAATGTATCTAACTGAATAGTTACTTGCGTGCAATAACCTGCGGCCAAA